TTTTCCAATTTTTTGGTGTATAATTTTTCATAGTATTCTCTTACAATTCTTTTTATTTCTTTGGTATCAGTTATCATCTTTTCTCTTCATTTTGGATTTGATTTACTTGGGTCCTTTCTTCTTTTTCTTGATGAGTCTGGCTAAAGTTTTATCAATGTTATTTATTTTATAAAGAACCAGCTTTTAGTTTCATTGATACACATTTTTTTAGTTTCTGTTTCATTTATTTCTGCTCTAATCTTTATTGTTTATTTTCTTCCACTCATGTTGGGCTTTATTTGTTTTTCTTTTTCTTATTCCTTTAGGTGTAAAATTAGACTGTTTATTTGAGATTTTTGTTTGTTTGTTTCTTGAGATAAGCCTGCATTGCTATGAATTAGAACTGCTTTTGCTGTACCCCATAGATTTCATATCATTGTATTTCCATTTGTCTCAAGAAATTTTTTTTCTTGCTTGCTTGATTTCTTTATTAACCATTGATTGTTTGGTAGCATGTTGTTTAGTCCCCTCATGTTTGTGTTTTTTACAGTTTTTTTCCTTGTGACTGATTTCTAGTTTCATACCATTGTGATTGGTTTGTTTTGTGTCCTACTGTGGTCTGTCCTGGAGAATGTGCACTTGAAAAAGAAATGCCTATTCTGCTTTTTGGGGTGGAATGATCTGTAAATATCTATTAAGGCCTTTTGATTGAATGTGTCATTTATTTAAGAACATTGTTTCCTTGTTGATTTTTTTTGTCTGGAAGATTTATCCATTGATACAAGTGGAGTGTTGAAGTCACTTACTATTATTGTAATACTTCAATCTCTCCCTTATGTCTGTTAATATTTCTTTTTTATATTTAGATGCTCTTATATTCGGTGCAGAGATATTTACAAGTATTATATCCTCTTTTTTGATTTATCCCTTTTTTATTATATAATAACCTTCTGTGTCTCTGTCTGTTGTTCCAGTCTTTGTTTTAATGTCTGTTTTGTCTAATATATTCCAGTATAGCTACCCCAGATTTCTTTTCATTTCAATTTTTATGAAATATCTTTTTCAAATCTTTACTTTCAGTCTATGTATGTCTTTCGTTCCGAAGTGAGTCTCTTGTAGGCAGTATATGCATGGGGCTTGGTTTTTGTTTTGTTTTTTTTTTTTAAATCTATTCAGCTACCATATGTCTGTTGATTGGAGCATTTAGTCTATTTACATTTAAAGTGTTCATTGATAGGTATGTAGTTATTGCAATTTTATTAATTGTTTTGTAGTTCTTTTCTGTTCCTTTTTTTCTTGCTCCCTTCTTTTGTACATTGATGACTTTATTTAATAATTTGCTTCCTTTCCCTTATTTTTTGTATATCTATTATAGGTTTTTGGTTTGTGGTTACCATGAGATTCATATATAACAAGCTATGTTTATGGCAGTCTATTTTAAGTTGATGGTTACTTAAGATCAAACGCATTCTAAAAGTACTACATATTTTACTCACCCCCTGCCACGTTTACGTTTTTTAGAATTATATTTTACACTGTATGTCCGTATGTGTATCCTTTAATTTATTATTGTAGTTACATATGATCTTACTACTTTTGTCTTTTAACACTAATAGTAGCTTTATAATTTGTTCATCTACTACTTTTACAAAATGTTTGCCTTTATCGGTGAGATTTTATTTTATTATTTTTAGTTTCAACCTTTTCTTTTCCACTTAAAGAAGTCCCTTTAACATTTCTTACTGTGACAGTTTAGTGGTGATGAACCCCTTTAGCATTTGCGTGTCTGGGAAACTTTTTTCTTTAATTCTGAAAGATAGCTTTTCTGGGAAGATTATTCTTGGTTCTAGATTTTTTCCTTTCATTATTCAATATTTGGATATATTGTGCTGTCCCTTTTGTTCTGAAAACTTTGTGCTGAAAAATTAGCTGATGGTCTTACTGGTTTTCCTTTGTTGCTTTTAAACTTCCCTCTTTAACTTTTGGTACTTTAATTATGATGTGTCTTGGTTATGGATTCATCATGTATGGGACTCTGTGCTTCCTGAACTTGGATGTTCATTTTCCTTCATCAGATTAGGAAAGTTTTCAAACACTATTTCTACAAATAGGTTCTCTGTCCTTATCTCTCTTCTCCTTCTGAGACCACTATCATGCAAATGTTGGTGTGCTTGATGTTGTCTCAGAGGTTCCTTAAACTATCCTTATATCTTTTTCTTTTCCTTTTTGTTGTCCTCATTCTGTGGTTTTTACTACCTGTCTTTCAGGTTGTTGATTCAGCCTTCTTGTATCATGTGATCTTCTGTTGATTTCCTCTAATATACTTTTAATTTTAGTTATTGTGTTCTTCAGCTCTGATTGGTTCTTTTTTATGTTTTCTGTCTCTTTCTTTATATTCTCACTATGTTCATCTAGTCCTCTTTTGAATTTGTTGAACATCTTTATAATCAGTGTTTTGAATTTGTTATCTGGTAGATTGCTTGTCTCTGTTTCATTTAGTTCTTCTTCTGGGATTTTGCACTGTTCTTTTGTTAGTAACAGTTCTATGTCTCCTCATTTTGGTTGTTTCTCTATGTTTTTATCTTTGAATTAGGTGAAATAGCAGCCTCTCTTGGTCTTGAAGGAGTGGCCTTATGTGGGGGTTTTTCCCTTTTATAGAGTGAGTGTGCCATGTGTCTTTGTCAGGCTGGCTGGATCTGTAGCTGGTGTGGACATGGGCCACGGGAAGTCCCAGGGGAAGCCGCACCAGGGCCGGAAACAGGTGTAGCTGGAAACAGGTGTAGCTGGAACAGGTGTGAGCCACAAAGTGACCCAGGTGGTGAGGTCCTCTCACCGGAGGCTGCTTTGGCAGGTGAGGTAGAAGCTGTAGTTGGAGCAGGCTGTGGAGAATCCTGAGGGTAAGTGGCACTGACCAAGAGCTGTAGCTGAAGCCCGCATGGGCTGCAGGTGGAGCCAGGAGCTATGGTTGGAGCAGGTGTAAGACACAGGGAGATCTGGGGCAAGCAGTGGAGCTGGTGAGGGCCTGAGGCCTGGTGCCTAGAGCCAAGGGTGCACTCAGATGGCCTTGGCCAGCCAGCTAGAGCTCCTCAATTGACCTCTCACCTGTGCACTCAGGGTGGTGGGGGAACAGAGCAATACTGCTCTCTGGAGCCTCCAACCCCAGAGAGAGCTCCCCGTCATCCAAACAAAGGATGCTCTAGTGTTAGACAATTGACTTTCTTTCCATTTAGTCTTGGTGCCCCTTTTAATTGACTTCCTTTGTGTGTACCCTAGGGCTGGTTTGTCTGCATGAGGCTACTCAGTGTTCCACCCCCAGTGCTAGTTGATTTGTTGGGTGTGGGATTCGCACAGTACCATATCTCCATCTCTCCTACCAGCTTCTGTGTGGTTTCTCTGTGAGTTCTTGTACAGAAGTTGTTCAGTCAGACTTCAGTTCTTCTTTAGGTGGAATTTCTCTGTAGGTGTAGATTCAATGTATTTCCAGAAGGTGAGTTCAGGGTCTTCCTATGTCACTATTTGGAACTCTCCTGATCTCTTTTTACACTGCTATTTGAATGAATCAAAAAATAGGAAAAAAGGGAAGAAAAATAAGAGCTTCTAGTCATATTTATGATATTCTATGAATTTATGTGAGAAACTAACAAGTTTGTGATTGTATCTTAAATTCTGTATATTTGTAAAGTTAAAGAACAATGCTATTTGTTCTCCTATTAAACAGGTGTGATTCTGTAACCTTAATAGGTTAACCTTTTTGTTCCTTGCTTTTAAAAACAGTTTTTGGTTTTGGCTTTGAGTTACATTACATGGTCATCAAGTTTCCTCTTTTTATCAGGGTAAAATGGAGGGTCTTATGAATCTTAAAAGCCTGTAATTTACCTTGGATCTGAGCTATAAGGCTTATCCTGAATAAATTTCATGTAAAGCTACAGAAATTGTGTAGAAAGTCTTTATGAATTGGAACTTAACATGTCACTGACACATTCTGAAGTGTGTTCCGTTGCTTTTAGTGATGGATGATCCCATTTTGCCAAGTTTAGCTGAAAAGGGTGCCTTAGAAGCCCAAACACCAACTCTGGAATCTAGAAACCTCCTGGAACTTCCATAGTTTTAAATCAGCAGAATGGACGCAACCTGCATCTGTGCGGGGGAGGGGGGTGTGGGGGTGGGGTGGAATGCCACCAGTTTGCTCCACGGAAGTCTCTGAAACAGAACTGTAAACACCAGCCTTCTTTGTTGTACGTTGGTTTTTAAAAGCCCCTGGTGGTTTGGGGAGGAGAAGGCCTTGCCTTGGGGCTTCTTGGTCCAATTTTGGGGGACCTGGCTGAAAACTCTGGATATTTGATAGTCTGGCTTATTTCTATGGTATATTAGCACCCTATAAAAGTTACATGTCATTTATTTCAAGTTTAGAACCCTCTCAAACTTCAGGGGCAAACCAAACTTGAACCTTTTGTGGCTGGAATTCTGTTTACCTTTGGCCAAATCTTGCTTCCTGACTGCGAGGCTGGGAGGTGAGGTGAAAGGGGGCTCCTGAGGCCCCTTGGACATCAAATCACTTTTGCCAAACAAGTCTTTGATAGGTTAAAACATGAATAAATCTGAAACACGTAGATTAACTTCCTGTCGGTATACTCTGGGGCCTACACACAAATGCACATTGTCCCGGGCCAAGTGCATTTTGAATGTTGCTTTCCACCAACTGTGAGGCAATGTCTTAGATTTTCGCCACAGTTGAAATTGGGTCAAGTCACTCACTCTCCACTTCTAATAAATATGTCAAATAGTTTCTCTGAAGATTATTCGACATTCCAATGGAATAAAGATCTTGGAGAAATTTGGACATTTCTTGTGTTTGAAAACGTTTATTTTTTAACCAGGGACAAAGAAAAAATGGATTTCAAGATACCCAGTTCAAGTATGGCTCTGATTCCTTTGTGTCTATTTCAGAACAAAGGCCAACAAGCAATGCCTTGCACTTGAACAGAGGAAAAATAACACATCATGTTCCATGTGCCTTTCAGATAGAGGAACTGATGAATGCATTGGAGAAGACTAGGCAGGAATTGGATGCCACCAAGGCACGCCTCGCCTCCACACAGCAGTCCCTGGCTGAAAAGGAAGCACACTTGGCCAACCTCCGAATAGAAAGGAGAAAACAGCTAGAGGAGATCCTGGAGATGAAGTGAGTAGCCATTTTTGTTTCTGAGTTTCTCTGTTCTAATCTTTTTTTAGGGATGGGGAAAGGAAGTCTAGAGAAGGTGAAAAAGAGCTTGGAGAAAGAATAAGTTAGCTAACACTTGACTAGTCATTTCTGGGACTACGCATGTTACTATTTTTAAATTATAACTTCCATGTTCCAATTTGCTCATTTTTCACATCTATTATTCAAAAAATTATCCAGCATTAGATTTTGTATTTCCATGTTTTGTGGATGGTTCTGGCATTCTTAGTTCTGTCACAAAGATCTGCACTGGCCAAGAGACAGGGGCCTCATTAAGCACAATGGTAATTTGAGCACTGTTCACAGTTACGTGGAAACTTTTCCAAGGAGGTATTTCCTAATTGTGACTATAACTTTGCTAATTTTATTCTTTTCCCTCTTGTACAATGGCTGGCTTGTGTTGGCTTTCATGGAGTCTCAAGGTTGGCACCTCTTTGTTTAGAAAGCAGGACTCTGACTTGCTAAGCTGATAAAAACAGGCTTGGAAATCCTCCTGTACCTCCCACCTTTTCCTGGGGAAGGGTAGGTAGTGCAGGAGACTGGAACCAATCACTTTTCTTTGATTTAATCAATAAAGTATGGCCACATGCTGGGCAGTGGTCGTTCCTGTAGGCCAATAACACACACCCATCTCCACCTAGGTCTTATTTTGCTCTCACAATGAACTAATATCATTATGGAAGAACATAGCCAAGAAAACTACTCAAAGATTTTATAAATAATCAATTGCTATAGATCTGTTTCTGAAGACGTAGACAAGAAGCAACATCTCTCTATATAAGATTTAGAATGAAATAATCACTAAGATACAATTTCAATTCAACTTCCTTCCCAAGTAAGGGGAAACATACATAATTATGGCATCTTAAGCTTGTAACATAGACTCTGAAACTGGTGGCTAGGTATGGAAGAATGACCTTCTCTTGACCCTATGAGTCTTACACATGGTTAACATTAAACCCAGAGAGCTTAGATCATGGAAAATATGGAATGAAATATTTTGAAAGATTTAATAATGAGGACAAAACATTTATACCTTGTCAGCTACCTCAGTTTCTCTAAGACTAAAGAATAAGTAGTTTTCACATATAAATTCAAATTTTTCCAATTAAAGATGATATAATAAAAACAGATATTATTATCCTCAGTTGAGTTTTTGGAACTTAGAAAGATTTCAAGTAATTTGCTTAAGGCCATCTGTCCAGGATTAAAACCAAAATCTTCTATCTCAAGCTTCCTTTCTACTACCTCATTTTCTCAAGAAGCTCATGTGAACACCACCAAGCCTGACCTTTTGTTTTCTGAGTCAGTGTAATAATCATACTGCCTGAAACAGTGCCTGACATATGGTGTGTGCTCAATAATTGTTTGTCTAATAAGTGAGTGGATTGAATGTGGAGACTGGATTCTATGTAGCTAAGAAGCAAAGTATTTCAACCATGTTTACCATTATGGCTTTGATCAACAAACTATTTATAATACCAGCACATTGATTTCATCGGCCTTTATTCTTTTCCATTCACCTATTCCACGTCTGCCTTTTTGCATGTTGTTACATGTCATGTTCAGCGTAATTTCTCTAATTGTTCTCCAGTTGTTCCCAAGTAAACTTTTATTTCCTGAAGTGACTTATTATGTCATTTTAAGGAAATTTTCATTTCTTACTTTTGTTAAAAAGAGCATATTCTTTCCATGGTATGAGAGAGCAAGTGATGGTGAAACATGCTGGTTTGGGAGTTGTCAGACCTGGGTTGCAATCCTATTGCTTCTACGTGGTGGCTGACTTGAGGGAATCATCTTTACCGCACTTACCCTGACCCTGCACTTACCTCCTGTAATGACTTTCCTGGGGTGCTTCTGAGGAGAGGTACTCAGAGTAGGGCTTGGCATGTGGAAAATAATGTATGTGTGTAAATGTCGCTATCAGCCAATGAAAATATGTCATTTGTTTAGTATACTTTGTGAAGAGTATCATTTATCTAAAATTTTAATTTATTTTTCTAAAACATATAAACCTTTTCTGTGTGTATGTTTTCCCACTTAATTTCATGATTTCAGATAGCACCTAACTAAGACCTCTTTTGATGAATTGCCACATTATTGTTGAAGTGCTTAATCTGCTACTGCTACAAAATAAATATAGAATTCCTCTGCTAATTCCTTTGATAAAAGTAACAAAGCCTCACTTCATTAAGCCCAATATGGACCCCATTCACTATTTAACTGGCCCAGAAGCTCCACTTATGGGCTCCTTCCTGGCACTATGGGGACACAGGTATAGGGCAATTATATTGACTGGAAACACTAACTAGATTCATCACCCTCTTAGACTGTTCAAGTCATCCAACTGGTTTGATTGAGCTTGATCTTTAAGTTGACGTATTGGCTGCTTGACATTAACCTTGTCCACGTAAGTATGCGGGAACAATCAAATAGGTATATCATTGTCAACAATATCACTCTGTGCCAAGCACTGTTGATTTTCTTTCAACTAGCAGGCAACATACAAGAAACTTTCAGCCAAGTTTACCCAGTTTCCAATCCCTGGTGGGAAAGGAGAGCCTGTGTGGTATTCCAGGGAAGAGGGTGGGGCCATAACTCAAGACTTTGGAAGTGTGACCTCATCATTCACCTGTAACAGGAGGTCACTGTCTGTTGCCTCCGTTTTCTCTTCGGTAATATGGAGGTGATAATACTTCCCTTGCGTACTCTACAGAATTGTTGTAGGGGATTTTTTAAAAAGTAGTAAACTGAAATTAATATAGACCAGCATATGTGAAAGTGCTTTGAAACGTGAAAGGGGCTTTTGAAATGAAAGGCGGTGTCTGTTAAATTCATCACAAAATAAAATGGCACAGAATTTTAGAATTGGAAAGCAGCTGGGTCCAACGTCCTAGTCTGCATCAGCCAGACACCCATCCGCATCATTACTAGTGAGGAACTCACCAGGGCCTGGTGAGCACCATTCACACTGGAAGTCCTGGGCTCATAAGGTGGCGGTTCATGTCCCATGACTCTGGCATTGGGACATGAACCCCATTCAGAGGACAGAAAGCCTTTCAGATGTTTGAGTAATAGTGTCTCTTTTAGGGGATAAAAGGAACATGAAGAAGCAAAATTAAGATACACATGATGGCATTTTGGTATATACTTTTACAAATACTTTTTACTGTTTTTAACAAAATTAAATCACTTTTATATTTTTTAAATCCTGCTTCTTTTGTTTACTGAATGGGGAATGCTCTCCATGTCCCAAACATAGAATTAGATTATTTATAATTACTCAGTATATTGTCAGATAGGTTCACTCTTTTAAGGACATTTACCTGGTTCCAATGTTTTGCTAATATAAAGAATGTTTTGATAAGCATCCTGCCATTTAATTTTGTTAACTCTTTTTAAATAAATATAGATTTATATGCAGTTGCAAGAAACAGTAGAGTGGTCTCTTGCGTGCTTCACACATTTCTGTAAATGGTAACATTTTACATAGTTGTAGCACAGTATCACACCAGGAAATTGATATTGGTACAGTTCATCAATTTAATTCAAATTTATCCAGTTTTACACACACTCATTTATGTGTGAGAATGTGTGTGTGTGTGTGTATATACTAACCATATCAATTTCAACACATGTATAGATTTGTGTAACCACCATCACAGTCAAGATACAACACTGTTCCATCATTACAAAGACCCCTCATGCTACCTTTTGATAGGTACACCCACAACCAGCTGTTTCATTTTTAGCCAGAGTTTTGTTTTGTCTTAAATCATTTGAGGATATGTAATAGGGTACATTATCCCTACCATTCTTCTTTGAAAGGGCAGGGAATTATCCCCTTAGTTTAAAATTTAGACTGAATTTAAAGTGAGAAAATATTACTTCATTCCTCTAATTTAAAGATTTCTCGCCCTGACCATTGTGGCTCTGTTGTTTGGACATTATCCGGCAAAGCAAAATGTCACCAGTCCAATTCCCGGTCAGATCACATACCTAGGTTGCAGCTTTGGTCCTCAATCAGGGTGTGATGAGAAGTAACAAATCAATGTTTCTCTCCCTCTCTTTCTTCCTCCCTTCCCTTCTCCCAAAAAGAGAAATTTAAATATTAAAAATATATTTCACATGAGTTATTTTTATTTTATTTACAGAGGAATTTCTTTTTAATATTCGCTCTCTAGAACTTGTCATGTAGCGGGCATTGAATAAGTGTTTGAGGACTAAAAGGACAAATTAGTTTAAAAATTCAGAAATATTCATTGAGCTCCTACCATGTGGCAGGTACTGTTTTAGGTGAACAAACATAAAAATCCCTGACCTTATCCAGTTTGCATTTTAGTAAAATGAGAGAAGGAAATGAAAAGACAAATAAATAAGTAAACAACTTAGTAGATAGATGAATAATGTAGTTTCTTGTGTAACCAAAGAACTTCGGAATCCTACTTAGAAAGTTATTTCCAAAAGTAAGGATCCTCATGGTCATTTGGGGTAAAGAGAGTCATGGAAAATGCGATGTGCCCCTCCTATGGTCTGAGAACCCTTTCAGGGATCGCAGACAGAGGAGAGCCTCAACTGTATTTCACGTAGGATTCTTCCCCCCAACACCTCTTTTTCAGTTTGATCTTTGATTGGTGTTCTAAGTGATGGTCATGATTCCCACTGGAAAGAACTAACATATCCCAACCATATATTTTCATAGAAGAACATAATATTTATTTTCCCTTGTGTATAAGGTTATTCTTTTACTTAAAAATATCTAAAACCTCATACAAAAACACTTCATAATGGTTCATCTTTGTTACAGTTGCTTCTATTTAAAAGAGATTTTATTAAAATAATATTAAAAACATCATTCTTTATGTTTGGTTTTATTAATGCTGGTTAACAAGCTTACATTCCAGTAACCAAAGCTCAATTATTTAATTTCTGGCAGGTAAATTTGATATCTGTGGCTAAAA